TTGCCTGGATACAGGGTCCCAGTTCACGTGCCATCTCGCGAGAGCCGGGCCAGGCCTAGCGCGGGAATAGCCCAGCTCGGACGGGCGCCCGGGGCCGGCCCCGCGCCCACACGCACATGCGGTTATCCGCAGGCTGCAGCCGTCCCTGGACGCTGCTCTTGCCCAACTCTGGCTCTGGAAGCTGAAACACCAATCCTTAAAAACACTTTAAGTCAAAACACACCAAAAAAATAAAAGATTTTTAATAGGACGGGTGGCCCGTCACACGCTGAACTGCTCTATGCAGGGGGCCTTCACCACCCAGGAGCCGTAGCCGTGCTGCCGCAGGTAGGCCCTCAGCAGCGCCTTCGCCTCTTGGTAGGGGCCCGACAGGCACTGGAAGGGAGAGACCGAGTCAGGCGGCGGCTTCGGGCTCGGGAAGGCAGCCCGGCCGGCCGCGGCAGTCTGCCGTCGAAGCGCTCAGACGGGCGCGGACGCCCACTCGGCGCGGCCTCGCCTCCAAAGCGGGGAGAGCTGTCCCTCCAGCGTCCTGGAGGGCGACTCTCCTTCTCTAAGGTTGAGACGGAAGCGTGACCGTCCTCGCCGGGGCGTGAGGCAGGAAGGCAGGAAACTGCACGGCCCCAACGGGCTGCTCCGTGCCCTCGCGCGCCAACAGGCAGCCAGCAGGCTGCACCGGGCGAGCTGCGCCCACCCCCCTCACTGGAGCGGGGCCCTGTTCTGCAGACTGCCCGGTGCTGCCGCCCCGTGACGCCCGCACGTCCCAGCCGGCTCCTGACATCGCCGCCGCCCCCAGAAGTTGTGATTTTCCCAGAATCTCCACAGAAGCGGACGCACACGGAGCCCACCGGGCAGCCCCACACCTCCAGGCTCTGGTGCCCACAGCTCCCCGCCGCCCACCCTGGGGACGACGCACCTGCACCCCCGCCTATCCTGCCGGGAGTGGGGCGCAGCTGGGGGTCTGGAGAGCCTTGGCCACATGCCCCCGCGTCCGCCCGTCATCCAGTCGGGAGAAGCCGAGCAGGGCTTCTCGCTCACAGCGGGCTCCCCACCAGCGCGGGAACCAGCGCCCCCTTTCATCACTGCCCGGGGCTCTCCCGCCCCTTTTCACCACGACTTTTTGGCAGGCTGTCCGCGCCCGCTGCAGTGTGCACCAGAGGCCCCGACGGGCCGGTTCCCCTCGGGCAGGGCGCGCCGCCCTCAGCCTCGGCTCCAGCCGTTTCCGGTCTCCATTCGGGGCTGGCTCCTGTCTGCTTTCTCGATGCTCCTAAGTCTTGTGGCCGCTGCTTGTTCTAGAGCTCCACCGAGTAGCTGCAACAAGGTCGCACCTCCAGTCAGCGCGGCCTCCCCTGGCTGCGGGGCAGGTGGAGGCCGAGGCACAGCCCGCCCCTCCCAGGAGTCGCTGCGCCTGCTCCCCGTGGAGCATCGCCGTCCTCAGCGGATCTGGACGTCTGCGCCTCCCTGAGCTGCGGCTGGTGCTGGACCTGCGTCTCTTCATACCCTGTATTAACCACATGACCTCTGAGGTGAGGCCTGGCTGCACCCCTGGAACGCGCCTGCTCAGTCACAGCGGGTGCCCCGCTCATGCGTCGCTGGCCTCGACTTGCCAGCAATCTGCATCCGTGCTCCTCAGAGGTAACTGGTTTGTCGCTTCCATTTCCCGTGATGGTTTTGTCCAGTTTCGATACCGGGGTCCGACTGGCCGCATTATAAAATGAGTTGGGAAGTTTTCTATTTTGGAAGAAGTTCTGGTGGGACTTCTACTTTGTCTGTTTACGTGTTTGATAAGCGCTCACCTGTCCGTGTGGCTCTCCCTAGGGGAGAGCTGCCCTACTGCAGTCCTATCGGCCACGGCTCAGCGAGTGGCCGCGTGAGCGCCCAGGGCAGGAGAGCACCTCAGAACACATGTGCCCGCACGACGGAGCCCCAGCCGGCGACAACGAAGGCTGAGCTCCTGCAACCCCAGACAGAGCTGAAGGGAAGATGCCGAGTCGAGAAAGCCTCAAGGAGAAAGACAACCAGAGAGTCACATGTGCAATACAGAGCAAAGTAACAGAAGGTCAGTCAAATCCAAACCTCAAAACTCAACACCTGACTGAAAAGCTGAGGGGTGGGGCGGGTGGGGGAGGGAGGGGAGACAGGGGCCACTGGGCGGGGGGTGGCGGGAGCGACAGCCGAGGGTGTAGATACACGGAGATGAGGCCCACTTTCCCTCGAGATGCCCCCGGGAGCGCAACTTGGCTTCCGGCGCGGCCCAGCTGGAGCCCCGCTGGCAGCTCCAGCGTCCTCCTGGCCAGCGCTCACCCAGGCCTGCCTCGCCCGCCCGGCCCACTGCAAGCCCTGCTCCGGGACGTTGCGTCCAGCTCTCACCAGCTCTGTCCTCCTTCATCTCCTGGTTGCTTCAGCCGGAGCTTCCCCAGCCTGCGGATGCTTCCAGGGAGCCGAGTTCTGCATTTCGAGGTCTGTTTCCTACTTTGCCCCCAGCCCTTCCGGCTGCGTCCTCCCTCGTGCTTCTAACTTCTTGGAAACTCAGACAGCTGACTTAGGGCTCTCTGCTTTTCTAATAGGCATTGAAGGTTACCAGTTTCTACGCACTTTGCTCATATTCCAAAGTGCGTCATGTTTGCGTTTTAAATTTTCATTCCATTCAAGGTGTTTCTGAATCGCCCTGTTTCTGCTTCCCTCAGCCATTCAGAGCTGAAGCCGTTCATCCCCTAACGTGCAACTCCCAGACGTCACTGTCATCACTTCCAGAATAACCCAGTGTTGGGACGGAGTCCGCAGGCTTTAGCCCCGTAAGCCCGAGGTGTGTTCCGTGGCCTGGAGGCGGCAGGGTGGGCTACCATCTTCCACCTTGGTCGTGCTGGCCTGAGGGCGACGCCAGGAGGCCGCTGCTGCCCCCACCTGCTCCGGGAGGCCTGTGAGCTCCGTGAGCCTGGGGAACCATGTTCTCCCCGGCAGGCTTGGCATGTGCAGCCCACAGAGCTGTGAAGGTGCTACGTCCCCTGTGGGGTGCAGCCTCGGGCTCCACTCTGGCCATGCCCTGAGCAAGGAGGGACGAGAATGGCGGCAGCCGCCTCAGGCAGAGGGGCACCGTGCACCCTGGTTCTTCCCCAGCGTTGAGCAGTTTCTCTACGACATCCTCTAGTCAGCTCCAGAGCTGCGAACGGCTGGTTTCTAAAGACTGACGCCTGCTGCTGTCATGGCGGCCTTGACTCCAGCCGAGCCAGAGGGCGCCGAGTGACCTGTATCCTGGAGCTGTGTTCGTGCATACGTGCTGCACGGGCTGGCCTGACAGCCTGAGCACTAAGGTGCTAAAAAAACTAGCAGGCTGTTACACGGTGTGATGTATGTCAGCAAGTTCAGGCTGTCAGGGACAATTTGTACTTCATTTGATAGCACGAATATGTCACAGGGTAATATTCAACTTCTACTGCGTTGAGTGAAAAAAGCAAACTAGAAAACATATCCATTGTGTTCTTAACACTTTCAGATACATGAATACTCACAAAAAATAGGTATGTCAAGAAATGGAAATCAAGAGCTTGAAGTTTAAAGAGTGGGTGAAATTTCAAGTTACTTTTTAAAAATCACCAAGTTCTGGGTCCTCCTGGTGGCGCAGCAGGTGAAAGCACAGCGCTGCAGGCAGCCACGGCCGCTTCGGGGCGTCTGCTGCTCTGGCCCGGGAGGCGACCCCCGGGGCGCGGCAGACCCCTCCTGGCCCACCTGCGGCGCCCTCAGCAGCGCGTTTCACTGGATCTGCCTGTTCTGCTCCCCGCTCTGTCTCTACTGAGTCCTCTCAGCCCCCACATCTCTGCCTGTACCCCAGCTCTGTATCAATAAATAAATTTTAAGAAATTCGTCAAATTCTTTAACAGGCAGTATGTTTGTAAGACTGAGAAAGTGTTTCTAAAGGGAGAAAAAAGTGACCGAATTTCCTACTTAATGCAGCCTACATCACACACTGGAACGGAGACACGGCTTGGGGCCCGAGATACGGCCTTCCTGTGGGGAAGCCCGCTGAGGCACAGGAAACTTTGTCACCGCTTTGTTTCTCTGGGCTAAACAGGCTTTGCCAAAATCAGCAAATGAAGCCAAATAAGCCTCTGGCGGCCACGGCGCGCTGTGAGGGCTTCCGTGAGGACTTACCTTCGCCGCGTGGTAGGTGCTGGCTTCCAGCAAATCCTCCTTTTTGGCCTCTTTGGCGAGCAGACTGAAGCGACTTAACATGGCCGCCTTGCAAAGCCGACTGGCCATGGACACGCCGCTCCTGAACGGGGAACTGAGGCGAGAGGGACACGGCATCACAGACCGCCCTTGTCACGGCAGAAGGACCCCGCGGCCCCACACCCACCCGCGGCCCACAGACATGGCTACACACAGCGCTCATGCTCGCGGCTCCCTGCCCGGGCCTCGCTCCTCTCACGAGGCCCAACGGCAGCAGTCACACACCACACGCAGGGCAGTGCGCCCTCTGGGCGTCCGCTGCTTGGGGAAACGGCCTCGGGCCGAACGCGCACACTGGTGCCGCCAGGGACGGAAACGTTTCCGGGGCAGTGAAGTCCTGTGCTGACGGGGTGATGGTGACAGAGGGAGAAGCAAGTGTCAAGTCGGCTAACAGCGTGCGGGGCTCGCTGCCATGTGCCAATCCCAGCTGAAGCGAGGCCGCTCTGGTCCTCTTCCCGCTGCCGCTGCCCCAGGCCACACCCCCACGGGGCCCGGGTCCTCCAGTCTCCACGCTTATGGTGGGCGACGGGACCCCGATTCTCCACCAGAAACCGTGGCCGGGCGCCCCTCGGACAAGGGCAGGCAGGTCCTGTGGGGGACAGCACAGCACGGGGCCCGGCCCGAGCGGCCTCCAGCGGCCGGTGCTCATGGCCCTGGGGCCTGCTGGCCTCCGGGAGCGGCGGGGCTGGGCCTCGGGCGGGGCCGCCACTGGCAGCGTGCTGTGCCGTCTCCACGCCTCGGCTCCCCGCACGGCGTCTTCTGCTGTGGGGTGTTTCCAATGGTCCTTTTGGGCCCTTCAGGTGTGGGAGAGTGCAAGCGAAGAGCAGTAGCTCACCTCCACCCCTCAGCAAACTGCGCCGCTCGCCAGCGGCAGTGGGAGCGCGTGGTGGGGGGCGAAGCCCGGCCCGACCTCAGGCCCTGGGCCGCCAGACTTCGCCCGCAGCACGTCCGCCGTCCTCTCCTCGAGGACCCCACCTCAAGGGTCCTGGCGCCGAGCCACCTGCCACCTCACAACTTACGCTGACGCGCGTGTCTCATTTCCCAGGACCTGCGCGGCTCAGGCTCACTCTCCGCCCGCCCGCGCTCTGTCCTGGCCCCCAGGCTGCTCTCAGGGGCTTTACTGGGCCTCCGCTCGTCCAGGGCTCCCGAAGGGGCGGCGATTCAATGACCTGTACCAGGTGCTTCCACCTCTTGGGATAACACCGGAAGTTTCTTGTGTGTGTTTGTAAAATTCCCCTGAGCCACCGCAGAGTGGTGCTTTCTTTGGGGAGAAAAGTAGGTACCTTCTTGGAAACTTTCTTACGTGAAAATAACCTGTTCACAGTTTTCCCTCCTCCGTACAGTTTTGGAAATAATTTCGTTTCTAGGAATTGATGACTTTCATCCAGGTTTTCAAATACACTTGCGTGGTTGGGCAAAGCAGCATCTTGAGGCTCTGACTTTCCTCGTTACTCCCTTGCTGTGTGACGCCCGCCGGCCCCACATCCAGAGACGCCGCCTTCTGCGGTTAGTCCTGACTTGACTTCCCAGCACTTGTTTACATGCTCGCCACGCTTGACGTCGCTGTCCTGGTGACAGCAGCCCCGCAGGCCCGTGACTCTCCCGTGGCCTGCGGGCTCTGGTCCAGGCCCCACACCCTTAGTCTCCAAGTGCTCTGCAGCTTAGCTGTGCGCCCCTCTGCACCAGCGCGGGGAGCGCGCCTCCCCAGCGAGGAGTCCCTGGCGCCAAGTCACGCTGCTCGCCCTCGGCCGCAGAGGATGTGGTCTGCGCGGTCTGCCCGGCTCCACTAGCAGAGCGGAGCTTCGTCGCCTCGCTACAGTGTTTCCCAGGGCCCTGCAGGTTCGCAGGAAGCGGGCCTGGTTTCTACTTCTCATGCTGCACAGTTTTAAGGAAGTCTTCAACCTCGACCCTGCTGCCATTTAGAGCTGCCACGCCCGTGCCACTGTGTCCTCGAGGCTGAGACCTGCAGGGCGCTGGGCTGTCTCACCGCAGCGCTGCCCTCTTCCTGTTTCCGGTGCGAGCGCCGCTGCCGCCGTCTTTGCAGCACAGAGACGCCTGACTGATGTGTTTCTAGTGCTGCGTCCTGTCTGCTCTGCCCCACACGTCACGCCTGCATTCCCTGCAAATGCATGGCCAGCCCCAGCCATGATCGGGAGCCACGTTCCGCGCAGCCCTGTTAATGTGACGTCACCCTGCCGCGCTGTCCTGGTAGTTCTCAGGAAGCAGCGCTGCAGGGTCTCACGGCAGAGCTGGCCTGTCCGCACGCGTGTCATCCAGCTGCACTACGCTGACGCAGAGCACAACGCGAGGCGCGTCCTGGCCGAGCAGCTGCCGCACTGACCCGGCTGACCCCGGCACGGGTGGGACTCGCACGGGGCTCACAGACTGACCCTGACGTTCAACTCTGAACGCTGTTCATGACCAACACAGTCCCTGGAGGTTCACACCCAGAGGGTCCAGTTGTACACGATAATCACGGGCAGGTGTGCCGCCAAGAAACCCCGAGAAGGCGCAGTGTGGCGACTAAACGGAGGCACACGCCCACGTCGGCGCTGGCTGTGTCCACACGGCAGGTGACCTCCAGCCAGGGGCTCAGCCTAGCTCGGAGCCGGAGTCTCTGTGAAAGAGCAAGACCAGCAAGCCTGGGCTGACTGCAGAGCCAGGCCACACAGGCCAGTGTCCCCCGCTCGGGAGCACCCGAGTGACCGGGGGCGTGTCGGGAGTGCAGGCTGCGGAGGCCCGGCAGGACAGGCACCGCCACCTCCCGCGCAGCTTCGGTCACTCTGGGTCACCTCCTCGGGCCTGTCTTCTCACCAGAGAGAGATTTTACACGTTACGGAGCACCCGCTACACGGTCACACCCAGCTAGTGATAACGTGTCCGTACAAAGTTCAAACAAGCTGCATGACAGTGTCTCTGCTCAGACAATGTGATTGTTAAAGGAACTCGCAATGCTGACCTTTCAGTGATCTTCCCGCTAAGACCATCCACGATCTCCAGAGAAATGTCCCCCTGTGCCCAGTTCAGACTGAGGGATCTGCTCTCCGAGGCGGCTTGCAGAGCGCACGCGGCCGGGACCAGGCTGATGTGAGGCCTGCTGACCAGGTAGAACATCGGGAGCTTGGAGGTGAGTGCGTCGTCCACGCGCTGCTTTGTGGCGATCTCCAGGCCTCTGGTGTCCTGGCAGCTCCCGTCACCTAGGAAGCAGGCGTGGGCGCTGCTGTCACCTGGGAGCAGGCACAGCATGCAGCGGTCCATCGCCAGAGGACGGGGCAGGAGCGAGTGCCCGGACGGCCTGACCCGTGCTCCCCTGGGTCCCAGGCCTCCCCCCAACTCTGCCCTCTCAGCTCCTACGTTCCTCTCCAAACTGTAAGTGACAGTCAGAGTTTCCATTCAAAACAAAATCTTCTACAGAAAATAATGACAACCCAGAGAGCACAAGTTAAGAGCCAGAGTTGACCCAGACAGAAACTGGTGCTTTCTGCAGGGTTCTGAAGAAAGAGCAGGCTGTCGACAGCTCTTTGAGGCGGCATGAAAGCAAGCAGCGGGCAAACAGGCTGAGCAGCTACCAGTGAAGGCGAGTTGTGTTTCCACCTGTGAGGGCTGCAGACTCACCCGCTCCAGTCCCACGACGCTTCAGCTTCACAGACTGAGAGAATTGCCGCTTCTGGTTACGACGGCCCCCACCACAAGCCCTGAAACTGCAGCTACCCACCACCGGAGAGTGCTCCGAAGGCGGCCGGCCATCGATAGGAGCATGGGCTGCGTCAGACCTCAGTCGGGCAATGAGACTCCGGCCCAAACCCTGGGTCTACGCCTGTGGAGAAGCCACAAGCGCCTGAAGGCCAGTGGCCCCGCAGAGACAAGGCACCTCACGGTGCATTGGCAAGTGGAAGATGGGGCGAAAAGAACGCCAGGGCTTCCGACACCCCTTTTCTAAATGCACCTCTGCGTAGTGCTGCACAGCAACAGGGACCGAGAAACGGAGGCTGCAGCTGGACTTGGCACAGAGCGTCGGGGCAACATGAGGCCTGCGGCAAGTCACCAGGCCGGCGAGAACCGGCACGCAGGTGTTCTGGGTCCCTGCTGGAGGCCACCCCAGGCCTGTCGAACGGGGTCGGTGCCCTTGTCGCAGGGGCCCTAGAACTCCCTCGCCCCCGCCCCGAACGCAGCGTGGACAGCGGTATGGAGGCGGGAGCCCGCGGCCCTGGGTGCCTGCAGAGGCAGGAGCAGGGAGGTGCTCGGCCACCAACGTGGGTGCGTTCCCGGAGCGCGCGCAAGACGCCAGGAAGGGGACGAACACTACGGTGTCTGTGTCTGAGCGAGACACGTTCTGAGGGAGAGAATCTCTGCAAATCAAACTCGGGTGAGGCTGCGCCAACATCCAACGTTGCCCCCAGGGCTGCAGTGGGAGGGACGCTGGCTGACTCAACAGAGGAGACGGTTTCCTGTCCACACACGTGCTCCAGCGACACTCGGGGGCACGATCTCATTACATCTTACTCCCAGAAAAATGTGTCTCTGAAATTATGACTGGAAAGGTCGTATGACTGGGAAAGGTCGCTGACCACCCCAAGAGATCTGAAATAACAAGAACCTGAAAGGAGAGAACTAGTCCAAGCCTGAGGCACCTGACTGGGGTGTTGGGGTGCTCGAGGCCCAGCTGGAGCAGCCACAGGGCTGTATCCAGGGCAGGAGCCAACGCCCAAGGCCATGAGCGGTGGCACCAGCAGACATCCATGGGGAACACACCACGTCGCTGCGCACAGCCAGCAACGGGCAGGAGACGGGCCAGCGCAGCTGCACCTCGTGTCCCGAAGCTCACTGCATTTTCCAAGACTCGTGCCCTGAACGTGATGCAGCCGTGCCAGCACCCAGCACACGGAAGGGGCTTAGTGAACGCCCGATGGAAAGGAGAGAGGGGTTGCCAGGCATCGGAACCCTCGATCCTGGGTGCAGACAGCTTAACGCCAACGCCCACTGTTCCTACCGTGTGCTAAAAGCTTCCTAGATAAGCCTGAAGTGTAACAAGACCAGAAGGATAAATTTTCAAGTAATTGGTTACGAGATATTTCGGACGTCCACGATGGCTATTTTCAAATAACTGAATGATAACAAGAATAAATGCATAAAAAGGCAGCAGAACTCTCCAGCAGTAAACAAAGATAAAAGAATTTTTGGAAACCAGAAACGCGGCCGGAAGCACGTGTGTGGCTGCAGCACAGTGGTGTGCGCAGGGCTGGGGCGGGGCGGGG